TAAAATTTGACAGAAATTAAACTGTTGAACTCAGATTGGCCTCGTTTTGCAGCCAGTTTTTGTAAGTAAGAAATTAGAACAAGACCTAAAACCTAAAGAACCCAAGCCGTAAACTGTTAATCATCGATGCGTTGTTTATCACTTTGTATGTGATCTGTGCGATGCAGATCATGTCGGCTATATGGCCTGACAACTTTTTCAACGTGTCGCTGAACACAAAAATTCGGCAATTGGCAAGCATTTTCATGAAGCGCATGGTAGGAGGGATCGTTTGAATGATAGTCATTTTAAGATTTTGAGAAAGTGTCGGAGCAAATTTGATTATTCAGTGTTTGAAATGCTTTCTATTAAGAAATTCAAACCTAATCTGAACGTGCAAACGGACTCCATACGTGTTAAACTTTTTGTTTAACCCACAAATTATTTTCTCTTATTGTTCGTTTTTAGTATTTATAGAACTTATTTTTATACATTCTTGACTTGATAATGACGTTATGTTAACGGAGAAACGCCGTCGATTTTAGCTTTCTATAGCTTTTTATCGTTTTTAAATTTTACAATGTTATCAAGCAACGTTTTGTCGCAAGTTTTTATCGTCAATTGTGACACAAAACTTCGGTTTTTCGGTTTCGGCGTTCTTTGCGCTTTTCATTTCGGTTTTCGTCAAAGATACCAACGGGTTTCTGGTTTGGTAGTTAATGTAGTTTTCGGTTTTGGATGATTTTGCGGTTTGAACCCTAAACAGTAATCAAAGGCTCCTAGGAATTACCTTATGGTATGTCTTATTCATTCCATAGCGGTGAGAACTTTAACTCATTGCAATCTCCCTCCAAGAGTGCCGGCATAACGCACCTTTAAATCACAAGTTGATTACTACTAAAACTGAAGGCTAAAAATAGACCATATGCGCAATAACAACAGACACAAACTTAAGTAAAGGTTTCAAGACGACGTCTATTTATGCGTAGATCGCTGCTTTTGAAATAAGGCCTCCTACAATTTGCGACACGAAACGATATGAAAATCTGCGATACTGAAATGATGAATATAGCTTTCTCAATTAGCTTGTGTTCATCCGCCCCCTACCCTCCAAAAGAATATCCGCGAGGCTAAGTGGTGTACCGCCGTATCTGGAAAAAATGTTGCTAATAAATTTATTGATGCATAATCTGATATCGTCGCTGGACAAATGTAATTATTCGTCAGCAAAGCGTTCCCTGTCATTATTCCAAAATTGGTTATCTGTTTCAGTATAGGGAACGACAAAGAAAGTCCTTGATAATGCTTTATTTTCTAATTTTTTTTTGCGAGGCTCACGAAAAATCTCGCTTTGATTGCAAGTTGTACCCCTCATCCCTTAACCCCTATCCCTCACCCCCTAGCCGCCGTGTTTTTCCTTGTAAACCAATTTTGAGCCCAGGGTCATTTTGGCTCTTTGTCATGATTTGGCGGTAAGTACTTGGTGTAATCCTTAATGTATGTTAATGAATGCAAATGACCGTGTTCTTCTGTGTTGATGCGTATGGAGGCTTTCACCAAGTACTTACCGATTTGGAGACCATAACGCTGACAAGGAGCCAAATAAACCAGGGCTCGAGATTGCTTGTGCGCACATCTGCAATGGAGCTATCCGCTGATATTTTCCTAACAGGAAGGATTAAAAAAAAAGTGCAAACGTTTGCACGATTTGGATGTGTAGTATATTACTTCTTATAGGTATGAATTGTTCAAAGTTTTTTTTGTAACTTGTGTCTTACTTTTAACAAAGTTCTTTTGTTTGATTTCAGTACCTCGAGAGTGCAGAAAAGCTTTGACGACTATTATTGCAACTCAATCCGTGGATGATAAGCAATTATGCCCGGCTACGCATTATCAAGTTCAGACAAACAGAGCATTGACCCAAAATATACTTGTAGCGCCTGTGGTTTACTGTTAAGAGATGCCATGCAAACTGCTTGTGGTCATTTTTATTGCAGTTCCTGCCTAGCAAGTCTATTTCGGTGAGTTGTCGAGGCTTTCTTGGTAGAGAATTTTCTTAATCGCAAGAGGAATAATTTGTTGTCTTCAACAACATTTTTCTGACCATATATCAGTCTCAATAGGCTTTGGATTTTAATTGGATGGATAATTTAGCTCAGACAGTTAAATGAAGTCTTTAACATATACTTGATTAGCATCCTGATGAGCAATTTTGTTTGACTTGCTGCATTCTGTATGAAATTAGCTGCTCCCATTTTGAGGGCAAAAAACGCATATCTCATTTATTTATTTATTTATATACTATAATTCACAAAGGTTTCCCATCACTGTGAATTTGCATGTGAAATATACAAGTTTATTTTCTGTCATATTATAGAAATGGATCTACTACTATGACATGTCTACAAGACCACAAAGAGTTTCTTCCAAATGAGGTGAGACATTATTATCCATACTCAAAACCAGTGACTTAAAATGTCTTTTTAGGGTCCCGCCTTCCCTTTCTTTAGGAAGATGGTTACCATTTGAAAATAGGCAATGTTGTTTCTGTGGTTTTACTTGAATCAAAGCAAGGTTCTTTTGAAGAAAGGAAAATCTTAAATAGTTCTTCATAATCAAAAAGAAACGTAGTTCATTCTTTCTGTTTTTGTGTGTGTTTCTCAGCAAAAATCTGAATGCAACCATTTACATGTGATCAGGGGCCTTGTCAAGGGCCTCTTAACTGCTAAGCTACTCTGGCTAACTTTAAGCTATTATAGTAGCCTAATATTACCTCCTCTAATAGAATTTGAGAAAATTTAAAAAGTGTGAAACTTGTAGTCTAAAAGACATGCACTTTAAACAAAATTTTTAGACTCATAGTGAAGGCTGAGAAGATGTTAGACAAGGTAAAAACTGTTTTAGATCCACTTTTCTTTCCAAGAAAAACAAAATGACTAGTACCATTTGTCTTCTCACTGAGCATGTAGTGGACCTTCAAAGGCCAATTTTTTTTATGAAAATACCTCTAAAAACTCAATACATTGGAAAGCTTAAAAAATGCTAGTCAAGGGCATAGGAAAACCCCAGGATTGTTCCTCTACTGATGTATTTAGCTGCTAATGGTTGATTATGCATTTTTCTGTCAATGCCATGCTTACATGCTAAAAATTGAGCCACAATCATTCCAAATAACAGGCTTGTTTTTTAGAGTAAATATTAAAATGTGTGTGAGTTATACACAAAAATGTATCTTTGGACAGAATTCTTTGGCACACCAAAGTGTGATTAGGTAATTAAAACATGTCAACATAAATGACTACTGAGATGTTTTTCATGGAAAAAGATTGTGGTTCTTAACTTTTGATGGCTTACACATTTCCTGATCTCAGTCGCATTTGGTAAGAAAGTGAGAAGGACTTTATTTGACTAGGATAAAATTTGACAGAAATTAAACTGTTGAACTCATGGCCCTCATGCTTTTTGGTGAACTGTGCTATCAGTCCTGGTATAAAACTAGAATGTGAATTTGTGAAAGATAAGGAGGGGAAGATTTTTTGGGAGAAAGGAAAAAAGAAGCCTTGCAAAGGTAAATGCAGCAAAGGAAAGAAATTCAATTAGGAATGACAGAAATATGGTGCTATAACAGATATGGGCAAGCAATCTTGGCTGTTGCCAATCATCATTAAGTTCTGATGCAGCAAGGTTGAGCCACATAAAACTTGAAATTGCTGGCAAAGGAAACTAAACCAAGGTCTGTCTTGCATAGTTCAGAGGTGGTGGAGTAGGGGGGCAGCCAGCCTCCCCACATTTTGGTGTGAAAATGTAGCTAACCCAGCTTGATTATTGGCAAAATATTCAGTATTGTGATTTTTTCACATATCCTTAAATCAGCATTGTATCCAAGGAAATATTATGGTGTAAAATGTATATTGAACAGCTCCAGCCTGTATTGGAGAAGCTTACCAACTTCAGCCATTCTCCATTAAACTAGAAAGTGTATCTAGGAAATTGGACATAATTTTATTTTGTCTGTTAGAACCCAATTGCATGCTAAGCAGAAAGATTTTAGACTGTCCTTGATAAAAAAGAAAGTGAGTCACAAATAGATTATGGACACCCTCCAAACTGTAAAAATTGCAAAGATGTTTGCTTGTGCTAACGAACAAAGCAAAGGGCGCTTTAGAAAGTTTGAGTAGGGGTATGCATATGGCTGGGTGAAAGATAAGCCCCCCACATTTTGAATGCTTGGCCACCTTTGTGGATAGTATCCTGCAAAATACCTTTTTGCTGATAGACTCCTGGGAAATTGTGGGATGTCTCTGCGTTGCTATTGGTGGTGGGCATTTGAAGTGGTGTTTCAAAAAATGTTTTCAAAATATGTTAGAAAGTATCCTCTTGGTTTTCTTTTTTTTGTCAGTGAGTCTTCTTTGAACAAGTTAATAGGTTTTGAAAATTTGATGGATTGCTTAGAAATTGGCCCAAAAGAATTCCTCAATGCCAACCTAGAAAACTGTGTCAGGGATTTGTGTTTTTGAAATTCATCTCCTGCAATGCCCCCCAACTTGATGCGTAAAGGACAACTGTAAAGGTGTACGGTCATTAGGGCTTGGTTGGAAAAGAAGATGACATGGATAACACAAACCAAGCTATACTGCAATTTAGCCATTTTTATTTTTTATTTTTTATTTAATGATTCACCCGAAGGTGGGTGTAAATACAATAGGACTCTAAGTCCCCTCCAAGATATTTACACCCTTAATCCCAACCCCTAAATTAGATTTAAAATCCCAACCCAACGCATTAAGAAAAAGAACAAACATGTAGTACATATTTTACAACTGACTGCGGAATTAACAAGAACAAACTGTAAAAGCATTAACTTTATGACAAATAGGACAAATCAACTTAAAGGTATGAACATTATCTCCATCAAATATTTGATTTAACCTTAAGAAAATAGAAAGATTTGAGCTTAGTTTTAAAACAAGACAATGAAGTTTCAGCTTTGATATGATCGGGAACAGCATTCCAAATATTAGAAAGTCTTACAAAAAATGAATCCCTAAAAAGTGAAGTTCGAAAGTAAGGTGTTGCTAGGTAAATTCGCGATGCACCACGACGTGATTTGCTATTACAAAATTTAACATAGTTTTCTATGTTAAGTCTAACGATCCCTAGTTTACATTTAAGAAAGAAAAACAGGTCTAAATATTCAAGCCAATAATTAATGGGCAGTAAATTAAGATGAATTAGACGGTGTTGATAGCTCGTGTTCTTGTTTTTGCAAATGAATTTAGTAGCTCGTCTGTGAGTCCTTTCAATTACTGGAAGGTTCTTAATTACAGACTGTGGGGCCCAGACCTGTGAAGCAAAACTAAAATGCGATCTTATCAAAGAAGAGTAAAATAAATTTAAAGAAGAGTATAAATCAAAGAAGAGTATAATAAAGTTAAAGTTTTTTCATTTTTCATTTCTTCCTAAGGCCATAGGCCTTAGGAAGAGATCTATGGTAGGATATCAACATGCCAACTGTCCCATTTTTATGGCATTGTGGCTCTGTACCTACTGTACATTGTATTTACAGATGAACACATTTTGCTTATTTTCTTCTGCATTTTGTATTGTGCAAAGTTAAGGACTACTATGGCTCTGAAAGTTAATTTTTTTGATTGTGTTATACTCTATCTTTTAAAGGCTCAAAACGTTTAGCAATAGTATGAAAAGAGCAACAAGAATGATGACAAATAATTCTTTAAAACTTTCCTGTCTTAAGTAACCTTTGGGCTTGTACCCATTTTTATTGTTTGTCAGAGTTAGATTAACACATTTTGTTTTCAAAACTCCAATGACAATATTACCTATATTTCCAAATTTTGATATCAGAACTGCAATCCAAATGCATGTTGGCTCTTATAGGACAGGAAAAAAAGAGCTCTTAAGACCTTCTCCAGAATTTCTTCATGAACAGAACAAACTTCTTTGCAATCTTTAAATTGTGCAGACTACTAGAGCTTATTCCAGTTTCCTCACCATGAAGCAACTAGGAGTATTACTACTCCCCCCCTGGATGGAGTGCGAGTCCATCACAGGTTATCCCCTCCCAGCATTTCATCAGGCTTCCCTGACAGTTAGCTGGTACCCTTTTATATTCCTGGGTTGAGGAAAGCAATGTGAGAGTTATAAAAGTGTTTTGACTAAGAACACAACACATTGGCCAGGCAGGTCTCAAACCCAGACCTTTTGACCCAGAGTCCAGTGCACTGACCGTTAGGTCACTGCATCTATACATGCAGACTACTAGGAATTCCCCAAAATCCCAATAAATTTGCACAGAAAGTAAGGTCATTTTTACCAAGGAACTCTTGTGGAAATTGCTTCATACAATTTGGATAATTATTACTCGACAATTTTCCCAAACAAATTTGATTACATGTTGGTAGCGACTCGATTTGTAGTTCCACGTTTGTAGGCCCAAAGTTTCAATAAAAGGCTGGGATCTCAATATGTCTTGCAATAGATGCGGGCTGTAAATCTAACCATTTTGTTAGTCATAGAAACATTTTATTTTTACATTTTATTTCTCTTAATCAGTTTTATGCCTATTTCTGTAAAGGTTTTTCCTGATAACTTTATGAGGCGTGAAGTACAGGCCTTAGCTGTTCATTGTACTTTTGAAGAGGATGGATGTAAATGGAAAGGGGAAGTGAGACATTTAGAGGTAAATGGATTTAAACATTTCTCGACCGTGTTATTGATATTTTCACCCGGTACTTTCCAGGCGTAAATTTTCCACTGGTGAAAAAGTCTTGACAATTTACAAAGCCTTAAAGTTTTTCTACATGTTCTTATCGCAGCACTGATTCGTTCGAACTGGACATCATTTTATCATCTTTTTAAAAATTCGTAAAGACAGATAAGTTAATAGTGGTCGGTGCATATAAGCAAAAAAGCAAAGTTCGTATTTGTCAGTAACATTCTCTATTTTAAAACTAAGTTTACTTTGCCTCTGCAGTAAGACCTTTAAGAACAACATGTAATTCTACAATAGTACTCTTACTAACAGTACAACTGATAAACCACAGAGCCACGTGTTGTGTCCTTGCAGAGTTCCAAATGGAAATCTGTAATTCAGAATTTCGTAAAATAATGTAGGTTAGAGAAAAATGTTGCATAAGAGAACATCAAAAATGGGAACGGGAATACAGACGAAATCTAACGAGACGAAATTGTCTTCAAAATAGAGCCACCTGAGTAACTGTGAATTCCTTAGAATTCCCTGTGTACATCCTGAGTGTGGCGCGCAAGTGAAGAAATCAGATCTTACTGAACACTTGGAAAAGTATTGCAAGTGCAGGCTAGAAACTTGTGGATTCTGCAAGAAACAAATCAAACTTAACAAGTTGAAGGTATGTTACATACTAATACTTGGTGTTGTAGATTGTTCTTTTAACTGTGATATGGGAAACATAGGTAAGATATTCTCGTTTTACAACCTCTCAGTCTACGGAGCACAAACGCTTTCTTTTGATTTGTTTTGTTTTGTTTTGTTTTTCAATTTCAATAGTCGAAAGGACAACTGTAAGGGGAGGGTTAAAGCTCCTGCTGGAGAGTCGTGGAAGGCAAGGGAAATTTTGAAAACTGATGTCTGTGGCACGAAGTATTTAGTGTTTTATACCCGGTAATCAGTTTTGTGCCCACAGTTGGAGGCTTCGGAATACTTAGAGCGTATTTCTGAGAATATCGAGACTCGATGGACAATCGCAAAAAATAAATATATATTTTTTATTTTGCCATAACATTTCCGTGGATGAATGTATTTAAGGAAAAATGGTTGAAGGTTCTATCGACTTATTTACATACATACATACGTTAGTTGACCACTCACCATGGGGGCTTTTCAGGGTCAATTCCCACCCATCCCACCCCAGGGGAGGACATCCACGACACAGTAATCTCGTGCGTGGGAAATTAACGTCTCCTACCCCTAACCCTGCAGGAGACGGGGCCTACGGTTTATTCGTCCTTATCCGAGAAGACTAGAATATCTATCCATTTCTTGATTATAGAAAGGTAGCAAATTCTCCTCACTTATTTTAAGACCATGAGTATCGGTCCGGCCGGGGCTCGAACCCTCGACCTCCCGCACAACACAATCCGGCGCTCTAACCAATTGAGCTAACCGGGAGGCGGTTA